CTCATTCTAGGGAAGTTGTGAGGATTAAATGATACAATACATAAAAAGCACGTAGACAGCTCCTGCCATGAAGTGAAAGCCCAATACACATTGGCTGCTATCGTTATTACTAAGGAGCCGTTCCCTGTCTGCACCAGGCTGCACTGACTTGCTGCTGCCCAGAGCAACCCATAGCCTAGTCCCACAAAGGCAGGGGGCCTCTTGTTTGCTCTCTAGATGGTCCTCTAGGTCCTCCCATGAGATCTGGGAGCTCCTTGTAGTAGAAACCATGTCTTATGTTACCCCCCAAAGCTGGACACATGGTAAGCTCAGCTATTACCACTGGGCTGATGGTACTAACCCCCTGGGCTTATTTAAGCTAGATGTCATAGAAATAGCCATAAGAAGGGCCATCTCAGAATTACTCTTTGGTCATGTGCAGACAGCAAACAACTCATCTTCTTATTCTTAAGAATCCTGAAGCTAGAATGGCCTTGAACCATCATCTAGTCTTTTTTTCTGTCTCTATTTGATTCACACAGCCAACAACACACCTGTTCTTAACATTTCTCAAACACAGTGATTCTGAACCAGGGGCAAGGACAGGGGCCCAGCCCATCAGAGGTGTGTCTCCCACACCATACACGCATGCAAATCACTGATTGTCTAATAACCTCCATCAGTACGTACACTCTGATTTTGGAGAGATGGAGGCCAGGCCTTCAAAAACCAGGGTTGAGATCTCTGGTTCCTCTTCTGAACATAATTGGAAAGTAGAAAGACTTGGGGACTTAGCATCAAGTTTTGGGTTCCATTCCTATTCAGTTTTGCCAGCAGTCTGACCATGGATAAGCATTGGAGATGTATGGTGAGGACAGTGACGTGAAACTATCATTTATGCCCCTACTGTGTGCCAGCACTACACTGANGCAAATCAGTGATTGTATAATAACCTCCATCAGTACGTACACTCTGATTTTGGAGCGATGGAGGACAGGCCTTCAAAAACCAGGGTTGAGATCTCTGATTCCTCTTCTGAACATAATTGGAAAGTAGAAAGACTTAGGGACTTAGCATCAAGTTTTGGGTTCCATTCCTATTCAGTTTTGCCAGCAGTCTGACCATGGATAAGCATTGGAGATGTATGGTGAGGACAGTGACGTGAAACTATCATTTATGCCCCTACTGTGTGCCAGCACTACACTGAGAACTCTACCTGTGTCATCTCAAATCTCTTCACAGAGCCAGGATGCAAACCTCAGCTTTCCACCTTACCTTTTCTATTTGTCACTGAGACCCATTTTCTTCACTTACAAAACTGAGATAACATTTCCTACTTTGCAAGGTATTATGAGGATCAAATGTGGTAATATCCCTAACCCAGGAGACCAATGCTAGTTGAAGGATTATATCTTCCAATCCTCTCCCCTACAAGGGTGAAAAAATTGTGAATCATCAGAGCTAAGCTCCCTGGAATCCTGGAAGCACCTTCTGGGTTACCCTGAGTGCTTAATTATGTGTGTGGGAGGAAGGTGGATGGACTTTATGGGCCAGAGGTAATACTACCCACCCCACCCTTCAGTCTTAAAGCACTCTAAAAATGTATTAGACTCCCAAAACCACAGGAGGGAAGTCCATCTCCTGAGTGGCTGGTGAGAGAGCTCTGGCTTTTTAGATCCCTCCTAACACACAAGGAGGTCCTAGGACTTACCGCCACCTCACCACAGTGCTTGAGATGCCGTGATACACTACTGTCTTACCCTTGAGGCAGGTGCCAAACTCCAGCTTCATCCCTTCAGGAGCTCCCAGTACTGAACTGCACGTAGTTTCCTCATCCCAAGCCCCTGCCTTGCCCTGTTCCTGCCCACATGTGCCCACAGGTGTTCCTGTGGCTCACTTAGCTGTTCCTTCCACTGATGTGTATTCAGGGAAGGCAAATACAAACTCATGTTAATTTCAGTCCCAGAAAAACAGGCTCAGATGGTAAATTGTTCCCCTTCCTCACCACAGGGACCTGTGGCTTTTTAGATCCCTCCTAACACACAAGGAGGTCCTAGGACTTACCGCCACCTCACCACAATGCTTGAGATGCTGTGATACACTACTGTCTTACCCTTGAGGCAGGTGCCAAACTCCAGCTTCATCCCTTCAGGAGCTCCCAGTACTGAACTGCACATAGTTTCCTCATCCCAAGCCCCTGCCTTGCCCTGTTCCTGCCCACATGTGCCCACAGGTGTTCCTATGGCTCACTTAGCTGTTCCTTCCACTGATGTGTATTCAGGGAAGGCAAATACAAACTCATCTTAATTTCAGTCCCAGAAAAACAGGCTCAGATGGTAAAGTGTTCCCCTCCCTCACCACAGGGACCCAGGG